CTCTGCCTTGTCTATGTTCTCACCTGGAGTCCTGTCTTCACCGGCTGCTTCTTCGACCAGTTTGTCGGTCGGTTTTCGCTTGTAAGTCTTCGATTTTGTGCGACATCAAACATAAATCATCCACGCTCGAAATCCTGGTCTTCTAGGTTCTTCACGTCGGCCGTTGCAGGATATCCCTGTCTCCTGCTCGTTTCCCACTGTCTGACGCATAATCCCATCAGTCCACCACAATTAGGAATATCATTCATTGGTGATAATAAACACCCTTGTCTGACTCCTGTGTTTACTCCAAACGCCTCGTTCGCTGAGTTTTCCCCCGTGTGGATCACTTGACATGTGCCGCCGTTGTCGTACAGCTGTTGAATGAGGTTGATGAATATTTGGGGTGGGTACGCCGTAGTAGTTCTCGAGTAGTTTCCAAATTACTTCGCGGTAAACGCTGTCTGTCAAAGGCCTTCTCAAAGTCTATGAAGTTGAGGTAGAGGTTTGATTGCTTTCCATTCCATGCTTTGTTCGATGATGATTAGATTAATGTACTAAGCCAGAAATGATTGCTTACGACTCATTAGTTTGTAGAGATGATTATTGTGGGAACATCATCACCACTCACTGCGGAATGCATGCATAACATCCAGCTAGTGACGAGTCAGAAAAAAGGGGACGAAATACGCTTTATCCTGGATTCCACTCTACTAGTCACCATTTTCACCAATTAACCTCTAATAATTTTTGTCGTGTTTTTTTTGGATTTTATTATTACTCGGAACAAATACTTGACGTACTAGGCTGAGAGCCTTAGTGCATAAGGCAAAATATTTGGATTTTTAACACTAAAGTCAAGTCAGGCAGCGCTTCTCGAAGTAGCTTAGGGATTCCAGTGCATGCGTCACGAAAACCAGATGACTTCGCTCCATACTAAATATCAGACGGCCAATGAAGAAAGGATACACAACAGTAAGTAAAGTCTCCGAACGAAGCGGTCGAGAACCTTAAGACCAAAGAAATACACGTAGAAGCTAATGGGAACGGATCGAACACTTGCTATAAATAGACGACTGAGTGACATTGCGAGTCAGCCAGGCCATTGCTTTAGTGGAAGCTGAATGGCGAACGATGAGTTAGGTGTGGGTTTGAGGTCAACATAAAGAAAATCTTGTGGGTGGTGTGAATGAAGGCCATGAACCCCTCCCCCTCTTCTCACAAAAGGACTACAAGGAACAGAATGGAATAGAGCTGTTCTCTTGAAGTCCCGTGTTCCATATGGAGCCCCAGGGAATAATAATAATAATAAGGCTAAGAGATGTGCCACACTTATTAGATGTGAAGTCTAATGATACTACCAAGTTACTCTGGACGAAACATTTAGAGTGGGACTCGAACACCTGACACGCTTGACTGAAGGTCGAGTGTTTAAGCCGATGATAACTCGCATTTCTACTGGGTTGTCACATTTGAAATAGACTTACTGGCTAGATATAGACTTCAAGAAGGCAATCAATGAGTTGTAAACTCCTTACGCTAAGCGCATCATCATCAAACAAAACATAAAATGGTAGCCAAACATCTATTTCAACTTCATTGTCCTTGCAAAGGCCTTTCGATAGTGTTGATTGTGAAGTGATTTGGAAGCCAATTCAACACTATGGAGTACAGTGACGCAACCTTATTCTACAGCTATATGATGATGCCACAATGGAAAACTCAGGGGAGCCTCTGAAATGAAGACAGGGGTAGGACGAAACTTCCTACCAGCACCAGTGGTATTCCTGATCATGATGGACTGGATCATGCAAAAGAATGTGCCGAGCGAGGAGACTAAGAGATCTGAACTCCGTGGATAATTTATGTTTCATTTAGAAGAAAAAAAGCTCAAAGATCTACGAGCGAAAACCAACGAGTTCGCAGAAGAGGCAGTGAGCCGGAGTACGTCAGGTGAACGTAGGGAAGACAAAGATGACGAAGATACCTAACCACCACCACCACCAACAACAACAATTGTGGTGAGAGCTGGTTGTTAGGCTAAATTGGTGGACAGTAATTTACGTCAATGTTTATGTCCCTAATATTGGTCGTGAGAAAAATGAGAACAAAGGTTTTGCGTAGGCGGATACAGTTAGCAGACAGATGACATCACATTCAAGAAACAGCCACAAAGAGATGAAAGATTAACTTTCAGTGAGAAACAACCAATCAGAAGACTGTTTTTCTGCTAATAATAATATGTAATACGTACATGAAAATCTATAAATATGTGTTGATTTCCTTAATAAACGATCTGTTGTCTGGCCCCTGTCTTCCGTTGTTACACAATAATTACCAACCACCATCAGCGGGAGGAATCTAAAAGAAGTCACATTCTTCCCTTATCTAGGGCAGCATCTCGTCCTAACTGCAGGCGGATAGCACGGATGAGGATGTCAAAGTCTGCCAGGCTCCGAAAGGTAAGACAGACCTCTGAAATCAGAGTGGAAATCTGATATACTCAGAATAAAGGATAAGATCTGAATCTTCAACTGTAATTTCGAAAGTCACTGCTTCTATATAGTTCAGAGACTTTGTGCAAAAACGTATTTCCAACAGGCTACAACACTGTTGACTTTCATCCACATCTGTCTTCGCTATTATTATTATTATTATTATTATCTAAACGCAGAAAAACTTGGCACAATAAGGTACCAAGGAGATGCACCGTACCATAATAATAAAACAAAAAAATATCAAAAGTAAAAATATAAGTGGAGATCGGATAGAAAACTTCATCTGGAAGGAAAACAGCCATACTTAACAAAATTCAAACAGTATTCGTCAACTATCATCGGGAAGGGAAGAAAGAAAGAAATTGCAACACGTTCACCACTGATGACTGCGATTCTTGGCCTTATCCGATAATGTTTCGGGCCATCGACTCGAGCTATCTCTCAGACTCCAACAAGGGAGTCGTGACGCACCAACCGATGCTAACCAAGCCTAAATATCCTTCATCCCACGACGCCATGTCATGAGTTGACCACCATCTCTTCGCCTCTTCCATCCCATCCTAGGGTGGCTAGCGAACAGAGACGTGTATGGAAGCCCCTGGAATGACATTCTTAGCACATGTCCAAGCCACCGAAGCCGGTGTTTCTTCCAGATGACAACACTCAAATGAATGGTGATCCCGACTGTGTTCAAACACACGCCGCCGAACTCCAGAATTACTCACGCGATGATACTCCATCGAACTCAAGCAATCCTGTGGAGACAGCGATGATCGAGTACGCAGAGCCACCGAACATCTTCAGCTCGGAGAGGCCAGGTTTCACAGGCGTAGAGCGAGACAGCTCGCAAGATAGCTTGTCTTCGCTCCACATACTGAAGGTCAGACGGCCTGCTAACCAGAAACAATGAGCAACAAGGAACTCTGACAGGCAGTGAACCAATTCAAAAAACTACTGTTCAACAAATATGCTGAAGGGAATACAGATGGGTTGGACACATACGCCAGACAAGCCCCCCTCAAGTGGAACCCGACTGGGAAGCGACGAGTTGCATGTCACTTCTAGAGTGACGTGGAAGAGATCGTATCTGTCTGTCTGGATTAAACATAGAACTTCGCACAGAAGTGCACCACTTCGAGTTCCCACCTTCCAAATAGCACACACAAAGGTAGACAAGAAGATGATGAGTGGAGAGAATCAATACAGTCTGACAAGTATATGAGTGAAACACAGAATGGGTAATGGTAGAAAGGAATATGAAAGATTACAGAGACTGGATACATCTGTGCTGGCTATTGACAACGATTTTGAGCCATGTCACCTATTGTCTCCAGCCATTCATTCTTAGAAGTCTGCATCTCCCTACCTGACCCAGTTTAACTGTCAAGGATTTCATGGATTGATGACATGTTTTTGTTTGGCCACCACTTACTCTTTTCCAACCTCCACCTATATCAGCTAGTAATCCCCGTCGGAGGAGGTGATGGTTAGGCATGCGCAGCACCTAACCTAGCCATCTCAATCTATGTAACTTTATAACCTCATCGACTGATTTTCCTTGTTTGACTGCCCAACACTCTACGCCTAACGTCAACATTACTGATATGTGTCCATATAATGTGTGTTTTGTTTGACAGTCTTTTCTTGGTGATATGTATCCATATAATATGAGTGTTTGTTTGACAGTCTGATATATTTTGCTATGTATATATGGATCGATATTCCATTATAATTAGCCAATCATGTTAAGACTGTCTATTGATTTGTTCATTTTGAATATTCGCTCACACACTTGTGTTGACACACTTGTTCGGACATTCTTATATTTTTGCTCTCACACTCTTGTGTGACATTGATTCTCTTGGTGTTTTGGAAAATAGAAGTATCATCGCAAACCTAGTGGTCTTCTGATTTCCGTCTTTCTTGCGTCAGGACTACTAAATTCTCGACCAGTACAGAACAATTACTTACTAGCTTGTTATACCACCTAACGTGAGAAACAGATCGCAGACATCTTTGATCAAAAACATCAGTCAACCTTTTCATGTCTTCAACTCGTATTGGCCATGTATCAGAGCCATATAGAGAAGGACGGAGCGAACTGCTGAACAGTACACACGTCCCTTGGTTGATAGACAGATATCACGCCTACGCCAGAGATGGTGTGAGTTAGCGAAAACAGCTCGAGCTTTTTGGATCCGTGGTGAGATTTTGTCGCCAATCAGTCCGTTGGTGCTGATACAACTTCCCAAATAGGTGAAGTGGTCACAACATGTCCTATCACTTCACTCCCTCGAATGGAACCCGAATTCCCATTCGGAAGCGACGAGTTGGCTGTCACTTCTTCTAGAGTGACGTGGAAGAGATCGTATGATATGTGAGGCAGCTAAGAAAGACAGGATGATAATGAAGATGTCCTGCTGAAGCTGTACGTTTCATTCGGAACCCAAGGGAATAATGAATTATGATTAACAATATATAGAGTAGAAGTAAAAGTGGGTGGACGATGATGGATGCACTTACCTCTTCCACGGCTAAATCAATACACCATATGACAAGTTGATTTGCTGTCTCTTCGCATACCAAATAAGGATTTTCAATGAGGTAATTTTGTGAATCCAACGGTTTACGGAATAGCCCAAATTTACGTATTTCTTTATTATGTTTATTCACAAAATCTTTCAATCGATTGACAGCTGCTTCTTCAGAATTATCAACTTTCTCATTATTCTCTTCATATTTCAATTTTGATGAATTAATACACTAGTGAAAAAGGAATAATCGTAATAATAATAATAATAATAACCCTCATTGACAAATACATATATTAGTTTGTTTATTAGATGTATCACACAGTGAGTGAAACAGTATTAATTGCTGGATGACACAGTTTCGAACAAAATTCATAATCATATCATCAATTATAATCACACGACTTTGAAATTTGAGTTTTATAGTTTCCTTTGTCCTCTCCTATTTGTCGTCGTCGGGGTAGTAGAATTTTCCAGATATCCAACTGGACAGGTGTTGAATCATTCCTGTTCCACGTGTTGGTTTGCAGTTGATTCGATAAACAAGGCTATCGTAATCAATCTCTCCCTCCACCGTGTGACATTAGATTTTAAAAGTGTCATCTTATCCAATCCAGCCTATTGTATGGTTGTGTGTGATTGCATGCAGTGAGAGCTATAGGTGAACTATTCTCCAGATTTATTATCTTATTCGGGTCAACTAGTCTAGCTTTTGCTGCTGGGTTTTTAAGTTCGGTTAGTCTGATGCACTGACTCTGTTCTACTAGTTTGACCTATGTATTTGACCTGACAAAATCATCGCAGACAGGGTATTAGATAAACTAAATTGTTTCGTTTAAAAGGCTCCACAGGCAGGATCCTTTAATCGACAAAGTCTGTTTCTGATTGAGTTTGTGGGTGGTTTGAATTCCAGCCACTTTTATTCCTGCCTGCCTTGTTAAGAATTCTGCGTAATGTGGTTTCCGAGGTTCCTTCCTTGTATGGAATTACTACTGATGATTTAGATTCCTTATTGTTGGTGTCATTATTATTATTATTATCACTATCGCTTCTACTACCCCTACGACGACAAATAGAAGACAAAGGAAACTATAAAACTCAAGTTTCACAGTCGTGTGATTATAATTGATGATAAGATTATGAACAGCAATAAATTTTGTTCGAAACCGTGTCATCCAGTAAATAATACTGCTGTTTCACTCACTGTGTGTGATACATCTAATAAACAAACCAATATGGAATTACTTACTACCACAGTGCCCAAGTTTTACACATATATTATTAATTGACAAATACAATTTAGATAAGGAATAAAATGGAATTCTAATGAACACTTTCCTATAGACAGCATCTTTATTACTAAAAAGCCTACCTCTGTTTACACCTAACTGTTAAGTGTATCTAACACCTGATCTGTCTGTCTGGATTCAACATAGAACTTGGCACCGAAGTGCAGCAGTTCGAGTTGCCACTAACACCTGATGGATAGCTTCTGGCTTTGACGTGGTGCTTGAGTTTGCAAATCACAAAATAGCCCAACACGATGCACTGGCTGGAACTCACTCATGTCCCTGTTGGTCCTACTATATGCCAGAAAGGTTGTTAGCATAGCGGCTGAAACTAAAAGCAGTTACCGGCATATATTTTATATTCCTTTACGTTCCCCCCTCAAGTGGAACATAAGACTTTAAGTTGGAACTTTGAAGTTTCGGCAGCAGTGGGGTTGCTAGCCTCATATGCTCAACCTTTCCTTCTTATCAGTTTCTTATTTGACAACTTAACGAGGTAGGGGAGTGCACCGCGCGGGGATTGAACCTCAGACCACATGCGTGCTCGGCGAGTATTCTGCCGCTAAGCCACCGACGCGCACAGTTACCGACATAGTGTTATTCTGGTGAATAGGGATGCAATACAGTAGTGAGATGTTCCCCCTCAAATGAGCAGCACATCAACTATGTTTCCTCTCCCCGTTTTGCAGAAGGGGGGTTAGAAAACGTTGATGCCGGAAATTGTACACCCGCGACTTACCTTGCAGCAATAAGCTCTAACTACGACCAAAACTGTGAAAACTACTCTAAACAGACAGCTGTGTGTGTGTGTGACAGACCTTAAGCAGTTGTCTCCTGGGCTCTGCAGTCACACAAAACACAAATGCTCCTTTTTGCTCGTTACCCTCAAGAAGAAATCAACATCCATAGGTCGGGTAGCCAGGAAGTAATAACCCCCCCCCCCCGCATACACTATCGTGGGCACACAAAGCCCTCCTAAGGTAATATTATACGCGACAATTCTGAAAACAATAGTTTTCATTGTTAGCTAAGACTCAGTTCCTCGGGGAACAGATTTTTCATTTATCCGTCACACATTTTGCGCATGGACCAGTGATATATAAGCACGACTTTCTCATCTGCACCTCCACCGCCCTTAAAGGTGCTACAACAATCCTGTCTAAATTAAAAGTTAGCCGTTTTTTTGTGGTCCCGATACCAACTAGAATTTCACATAAAGACTGAAGTCCATTTATCGATAGTGGATGATTGACTTTCAATAGACAACTCAACAACACAGAAGTTCAGCAGTTGAAGTAACCACATATCATCATCCCACTTAGCACAGAAAGGTAGACGAAAGGAAAAAGGGATTTAAAAGTACTACTATAATCAGCAGAAATATGTAAAGGAGGAAAATAAATAGTAATATAGAAAAATACAAGGGTTTAATGGATATGACAGATTACAACGATTGAATGCATCATCTACGCCATTGAGAACGATTTTCAACCGTATCTTCAATAATCTCCAGCAACTGCAGTCACTATCGATGCCTACTGCGACTGACCACCGGTCGATAGATGATTATTTTTGGTGATAGGGAGTATATATATATATATCCGGAACTTCCTGCTGACTGCTTCCAACCAGGCTGGCTATGAAGCAGTCTGCCAAAAGTGGGCCGATGGGAGAGCCCATAGAAATCCCGTCTTTCTGTCTATAGATGACGTCGTTGAACGTAAATTGTACGTTAAGTGTGCATCTTAATAACAACTCTTCGAGGTATGAGGTTAGGATTCCAATACTCAGATTTTTGTCATCCATATACTTGCAAAGGAAACAAATTGTGTCTGTGAGCGGCACATTCGTAAATAGATATTCCGCGTCCAGCGATAACATTCGTTTGCCATTTACATTCAAGTCTTTTATGCACTCAATAAATTCAAAATTATCTCGTAGAGAGTACTTACAGAGTTGTTGTCTCACAGGCTCCAGTATCCCGGACAACTATTTGGCAATCTGATGGTACGGTGATCCCTCCATGTCTAAAATTGGTCAAAGTGGTAGACCTACTTGGTGTACCTTTGGTAGACCGTAGAGTCGAGGGATAATTGATCCTGTTGGTCTCAGACATTCAAATAGGTCCTCAGCTATGAGGCAGTCTTTCTTCATTCTCCTAAGAACATCTGTCAGTTGCTGTTCCATCTGCTCTGTCTTATTCTTCGCATTGTCTGGTTTTGAAAATTAGAGATTAGAGCTGTCAACTTATTCATATATACATCTCTGTCCATACGGACCACTCCCAAACCTTTGTAATGATTAGGTCTTTGTTTTTTCTCAAGTCTTTAAGCTGCTGTTTGTGTTTTTTTTGTCAGGAGGTGTCGGTCTTTAGTTTTTTGAATTGAGGTATTGATCGCAGCAGTCAGAAATTGTCGACTTGAAATGTAAGAGATCTGCATCGAGGGACGGGTGTGAATACGTTATCTTGGTGCAAAGCAAGCGAGCTGAGAACGTCATATCTGAATTGAACAGGAGCCTCAAATCCGTTGAAGTACACAGGAATTTCCCCATCGACCCCAATAAATTTGTTTTCAATCACTCCTCTGTCAACTTGTCTACGTTACAACTGGAAGCCCTATCTTTAGAGTTGAAATTTTGTGACGTAAATCTATACAATAACAGACTGCACATGTATGTCCAATGTGAAAATCTTATTAGTCAAACAAGAGACACCACACTTGTTTTTGATGCAGATCTCTTACATTTCAAGTTGAAAATTATTACCCCCTTCGTTACTATGTGAAATTAAACAAATAAGAATTGTATCCATGTAAACTAATCTATATAAATGCGATTGTACAGCTGCTTTTGAGAATGAAATCGCCGAAAAGGCAGATGTCTTTGCTGAACTTCTTGTTCTTTTCAATCTAATGTTCCAATGGGTATTTTCCACGATTTGAAATATAGAAAAATCACTCAACAATTGCGTGGATTAAATGACTTACCAGGTGACAAAATAGGTCAGTGTTATGCATACATTGCTCTGAAATAGCTTTTTATTTATTTTTTTTTAAAGTAACACAAAATTTCCTACAGTTAGCACTCAGTTTCCCCAGCGTCCATAAACGATCGACCTTGACAGAATTTCGTCTTCCTTTCGAAATACTCTCTCATATGATTTTGACGTGGTTGTGTTCTCTGAGCTGGATAGTTAATTTGCGAAGCTTTCAATCACCCTACTAGGTGACATCTTCAGCGCATACTTCAATTTGAAGTGAGCTTTTGGATTTCTCCACTAGTTTATTAAGGTCCTTTGGATGCCATTGTCCAATGCTTGTATGGGATTTGTTGGACACCAGATTCAAAAGAGAAGAGAAATCCTAGAACCAAATCCCATTTTTAGACGCCTTAGTCAAGCGAACAACCACAGGGGAATTAGAAACTCAAGTTTTGCAGAAAATCAACTCACACAGACAAAATCCTGAATTACAACAACAGCAACAACCCAATAACACACAAAAGGAATTGCATACAAACACTATTCAAGAGGGCCAAGCAGTCAGGACTCATTGCAGCACTCCCATATTAAGGAAAATTGAAGAAAAATATCTCATGGACGTCTTCCAAAGGAATGGATATCCACGGAATTTCATCAAAAGACACATACCCCCAAGCCAACCTATCAAACCAAAAGCCCTCAAGGAAAGAACAAAGAAAATCGCCTTACCATGTTTTAGGGATATCTCAGAAATCGCTACAAGACTCTTCAAACCTTAAGAAACTGACATCGCACACAAACCAACAAAATCACTTCACTCAGCCAGCTTTACGTCAACCAAAAGACTCAACAGCAAAACAAGATAAAACCAACATCATCTACAAAATAAATTGTAACAACTGCGAGAAACACTACATTGGCCAAAGCGGACGACGTCCCCTTTGTCTTTGTATCCAAGAACATAAGCTAGCCGTCAAAAGACATGATATCCACTCCCTCATATCGCCTCACTGCATACAGACAACCACGGACATCAATTCGACTGGGATAACCAGTGTTCAAATATTAGACAGAGGAAACAACAAGATTGCCAGCCAGAGAATTTTTAGAAGCCAGACTGGTATTCCAGTGAATCGTCATCAATCAATAGACACATCGAGATAGACTAAATTTATCAACTGATTAGACAGAAATCTCACACACAAAGGGTCAAAGTTCAAGTCGAAGAAACAATCAGTTACAATACAAGTAACCTAGAAGGTGTGAAAACACACAAAAACCACCAATCACTTCCAATGTCATCCACCAGGAGAGATGATTAATAAACTCGTGGAGAAACTTAAGAGCTCACTTCAATTCAAATTGAAGTATGCGCTGAAGAGGTCACCTAGTAGGGTAATCAAAGCTTCGCAAATCAACGATCCAGCTCAGAGAACACAACCACATCAAAATCATTCACCTGAGCTACAAATTTTCTCTATCATACTCTGTCATATGGCGCCACGCGTTTATAGCCTCTGCTATATAAGTCCTGTTCACTGCCTTCATGCGACAGGAGTGAACCTCACCAAAATAAGAAAGGGAAAATGCGAACATCTGCCTCTTGCAATCGGACTAGTGAGCATGCACGCCTACCCAGGGAAGCTGAAAAAAACCTTGATTCCATGTACATGATCTCCAGAATTCGAAAGGAATTAATGGCATATGAAGCTGTTTAGGTGTGACCTGAAACCATGAGAACGTAGCTCTGCTACAGCATTGTGAATGAAAGTTAAAGGTTCTGGGCGGTTTTGGGGGGGGGCAGATGGCCCTATAAGACAAACACCTGCTTCAGTCTGGGAGTCAGCCAGGATGGTATTCCAGCTTTCGTACAAACTATGCGACTTTTGTGTGGAGCATATTTTGGTGCCCACATGATGTACCAAGTTTGCGTGTTTAATAAATATTCATGGATAATCCCCATTCAGGCATTAATGAAAACAAAACACGTAGATCAGTGAAGAGTCTCTTTTCGGCGGCGAATTCATTTTCTTACCTGTACAATCGCAAATATATTCGTATGGGTTATTTTGTATGCATGTGTACATTAAGTTTGTCAAACTAAATTACAATCGGTTAAGGTTATTTTAACTAAACAGGTGAAGGTTGGTAATAGAAGTCAAGAAAATTAGGTGTTAATGAAACTAGGGTAGTAACAAAGGTGATAAGTTGTCACAAACAGTTGTTAAAAGAAGTTATGTAATAATAACATGAATAGTTTGATGAGTGAGTTTTACTCAGGATACACATAGGAACGAAGTAGATAATACGAAATAACGTAAGAGTTCTAAATGAACACAAGAATTATAAGCAATTATAAGCAACAGGTAAAGAAACAAAAGTAGGTCATCAAAATAAAAAAAATAAAATCAAAACAAAAAAGTTGCTACCATCACAGTAGAATTGGTTGAGTAATTCTCTTTTGTATGCATAGCTCCGGCCTTCTATGTGAATGGCGAGAGCTTCAGCGACACAAAATAAACGAAACCGTATTGCCTTTGATAGGTTATTCTTGACTCTGTTGATTACTTTGAAGGAGGCGTTTGTTGAGATGGAATAATCAGTGTTAACTAGGTGTTCAGTTATCGCACTTCTTATTGCACCACTATTGTCTTTTCGCAACCATGCCAGCTGGATAGTGTTCTTGAATCTTCTTGGATAGGGTGCGCGTCGAACGACCGATGTACCCGGCTGGCTCCACAGCAGCAGGTGAACTGATATATGCAGAAAGAAGTGGTCAAATGCCGGATCTTGTCCTTGAGGCTTCTGCAGATCAGTGGGCGACTGAAGAACACTATTCATAGTATTGCTGCAAAGAATGTTCTTCTCAGAGATAATGTGATCCTTCTCTTGAGAATATCGCTTGCTAAATCTCCCTTCAAATCCAAGTTCATGTAGAGTTTCTTTCTAGGTGCAATTAAAGTTTCGTTTCTCCGAATTCTCAGTTTGATATTTTTTGTCGATAAATCTTATTGGGTATCCATTCTGGATGAAGATTTCTCTTAGAATATCTAATTGTTTCCAGAACGTCGGGACTACATATGCGTTGGATGCGGGTGGCAAGTGATTTAATTAAATTCCGCTTCTGTTGAATGGATAACCAGCTATAGAAGCTTGTTAGTCGATCATTCCACGTAGATTTTCCACGGATCGATCTTCTTAGACGCCTATCACTTCTTGTTAGTTCCACGTCAAGAAACGGAATTTTTGACTCGTTTTCCATTTCAAGAGTGAATTTTATTGCTGGATGGCAATTGTTAAATGTCTTCAACAGCAGACTTATTTTAATAACTGTTTGTGACAACTTATCACCTTCGTTACTACCCTAGTTTCATTAACACCTAATTTTCTTGACTTCTATTACCAACCTTCACCTGTTTAGTTAAAATAACCTTAACCGATTGTAATTTAGTTTGACAAACTTAATGTACACATGCATACAAAATAACCCATACGAATATATTTGCGATTGTACAGGTAAGAAAATGAATTCGCCCCCGAAAAGAGTCTGTCCGCTGATCTACGTGTTTTGCTTAATAAATAAACAAACCTGGTTACCTACAAGGATCATATTTTTCAAGTATCAGGCTTTGAGCTACTTTAAGATCCATGAGCTGAAAGTTAAGAGCTAAAGCCAATGAGTTACATCTCCATTTAACAAAAAATCACCCGAGTAATTTTAATAGTCAAAGAATTTAAATTTTTAAAAAGGAAAAGAAAAACAGTTGTTAAACTTACAGTTTTTGATTTTCCTTCCCTACATATAGTATCAATATTTAAAGGTCTCAACTAAAAAAAAATAAGAATTTATGCATTAGCACGTTGGCAAACATCATCAGCCTACCCTTTCTTTCTTTTTCATTTCTGCTTCTTTAACTGACCATTCTTTTGCTTCAACTTCAAGCTGTTCAAAGGTTTTCTGTAATTCGGATAGATTATCTGCACCAGTCTATTAGTGTTTTGATTTTGTTTTAAAAAGTCTGCTTTCTTTTTTTTAACAAACCTCTTTAGCTTGATTTAATTTCTGTTGAGTTTCATTGTATTTGCTTAGAAAAGATTTATAATTCTGTTCAAATTCTTCTTTTTCCCTTTTCCAAGCAGCATCTCTCTCTAGACGAGCTTGATGACGCCATCGAAATAAGCTAGGCGTGTCTATATTTGGATGTGTATCGTCTTCATCATCAGAAACCTACAATTTTGTGGATAAAGTAGTAGTAGTAGTGGTATTAAATATATTTTGCATCAATAAAGAAAAGGGAATATTTTTAAAAAAATGTAAACATACACACAAATCACTAAAGCGTGCTAAGATAAGATGGGGATAATGGATAGTGGGCATCCGTCAGAGATGCCAACTACCCGTATTTCTATTCAATTTCATTACAGATGCACTGATGGATTTAACCCTAACTGATTTCAGGGATCGAATTGTTACCAACAAGGAATAATCTCGTTGACTTAGAATATGCAGACGATATAGTCCTTCTAGGAGAGGAGGCTGACAAAATCCAGCAGAGTCTTCTAATCACCTTGAGCTGCAATCTACGAATGTTTCGCATGCGATTCGCTCCTGCTGTCAAATGTAAGATGATGTTACAGAAGTGGACTACACTGACTCCTAGATTAGAAATAGGAAGTGAAGTGGTAGAGCAAGTTGACCGCTCCACTTATTTGGGAAGTGCCATCAGCCAGAGCTAACGGGTTGATCACTGACGAAATCTCAGTACGGATACAGAAGGCTAGTTTCGCATATGCCAGTTTACGCCGTCTCTGGCGTAGACGCGATATCCGACTGGCTGGCTATCGACCAAAGGGCGGGTGTACTGGTCAGCAGTCCGCTCCGTCTTCCTTTATGGCTGTGAGCCAGACAGGGTTATTGAGGGTGGAGGATGTGAAAAGACTAGCTGTCTTCGATCATAGATGCCTGTGTTCTATATCCCGTGTGAAGTGGTACAATAAGGTGAGCAATATTGAGTTTAAGCGTCAAGTGCTACGTAAGGAGATAATGGGCATCCTTGACGGACACCACTGGTCGTCATCAGTTCAGATGACAGCTCGCCGTAAGCCCTCACCTGGCTGTATGAGTACGAGTAGAGTGCCTTAATCAGTGCAATATATTTTCTTGGAATTCCCTTTACAGCCAAGCATCTCCAGAGAACTTCCCGATCGACAGAGTCGAATGCTGCCTTTAGGTCAAGAAATATAATGACTGTTGGACGCCGGTAGGAATGCCTATGTTCTAGAATCTGTCGGAGGGTGAAGATATGATCAATACACCCTCTTCCTGGTCTAAAGCCTGCCTGGCTCTCTCGTGTTTGTGCTTCCCGAGCACCACTCAGTCTACGCATGATTATTGAGCCTAAGACTTTAGATACTATATTAGTCAAGCTAATCCCTCTGTGATTATCACAGGAAGACTTGTCTCCCTTCTTGTATATGGGGATAATCAGTGACTTACACCAACCCGATGGGACTTCTTCTGATTCCCAGACGCTGCCTAGTACCTCAGTTAATCCGGACAGTAAGCTGTCTCCACCGTACTTAAATACCTCTGGAGTCATTCCATCAGGTCCCGCTGCTTTGCCTAGTTTCAGATTGGTGACAGCTTTAGTAACCTCAGTTAGTGACGGAGGACCTGTGTCTATATCCCATTCAGGGAGGTGTTGGATGCTCGGAAGGTTGAGCGTGGCTGTGGGCAAATTAAACTGCTCCTCATAATGCTCTTTCCAACGATCCAGTCGTCTATCCTGGGAGCTAATTATAGTGCCATTTTTTTCCGAGATTGTCTCACTGATGATTTGTCTTCTCCCACCCGTTTCCCTGATGAGTCCAAAGAGTTGCCTGGTGTTGCCTATCCTCAAAGCTTTCTCCATCTCTTTGGCTTTTGTCGCCCACCACTGTTCACGGTCCTTGCGGAGACTTTTCGTAAGTTTCCTCTTGTGCAGCTTTCGCTCCTCATTGAATTCGGAGCTCGCCGGAATAAGTCTTCTAGCATCTATCAGTTCGGATGAGGCGGTGGAGATCCAGTGGTTTTTACTCACCTTTGGGTTTACCTTATTCACAGCTTTTACAGCTGTATCTATGGCTGCCTGGATATTTTTCCAAGCTTCTTCAGGGTGAGCACAGCTGTCGAACACAGATATGTGTTTAGCTAGTTCTTCCTGAAATACGGATTTAGTTTCCTGATCGAGCTGGGGACGTGATGGTTTTACCGCCAGCTGTTTCCTACGTCCGTTCAGTCGTAAGCACACCCGAGCGCGGACCAGTGCATGGTCGGTATCTACGCACGTGTTCCAGAAGGAGCGACAATCTCCTACCGACCCACGCCAACGATAGCTTATTGCTATGTGGTCTATTTGTGTCCAGCGTTGGTTTGATGAAGGGGGTCTCCAAGTCAAACAGTGTCTCTCCTTGTGTTTAAAGTTAGTGCTTACAAGAAACAAATGATTATCAGAGCAGAACTGTAGGAGACGGTCACCGTTGTCGGTTCGCTGGCACGGAGCTCCATAGGTGCCACCGACATCCTTCTCAGATTGACACAATTTCCCTACTTGAGCGTTAAAGTCACCAGCTAGAACGACTATGTCTGAGCGTTTAGCCTTTCCACCAAACTAGACAGCTTTTGGTAGAACTCATCCTTCGTTTCATCTGAACTGCAGTCAGTGGGGGCGTAGGCGGAGATTACGAAAAGGCATCGGCGAGTAGTGCAGTCCTTCCTCCTTCTTACTGATCCGTTCAGGCGGACAGCACACATTCGGCTATCTACCGGGATCCAGTCAAGCAATGTCTTTTCTGCCCTAGTACTCAAAGCTATCCCTACGCCAGCTAATCCTCGTGAACTAGCTGTGGCATCTCCTGACACCCTCAAGGTGAATTTTGCAGATTCAACCTGTTGGCCAGGTGGGGTTAGGTGAATAACCACACTTGGGTCTTGTATGCGTGTTTCTGAAACACAGCATACATCAATGGCTCGTGATGCCAGGGTCTTGGCTAGTGATGCTTGTTGTCCTATTTGGCAAAGTGTCCTAACATTAAGAGCTCCTATATGAAATTGGTGGCGCGGCTTTAAGAGGCTGTCGGTGGTGGTTTTTTGGCTTCCATCGTTTTTAGTGGACGCAGAGTGGAGAGGAAGTGGAGAGCTATCAAGTCGAGGAGTTGCATCAGTGGAAGGAAGGCAAGATGATAGAGATGAAGATGAAGACAAAGATGAGTGAGTAATAGAGAGGTTTCGTGTGCATTTCGGATTGTGAGGGCGATTGTTACTTCCCGGCTGCCCACACCGTGGAAGTTGGTTGCGTGACCGCAGAGCCCAGGGGACAACTGCTTGAGGCCGGTCACACGCGGCCTGTTTTTGTTCGTTCTTTTTTGTTTGGTGTGTCTCAGTAGCAGATTTATCACTCCCGCCCTGTGACACGGCAGCAGGAAGCGCGGTCGTTGTTAATCCGGGCCACGGCCGATCCGGCATGAAATTTTGTGATTTTGTATTGGACATGATGTTGGATTGGGTAGCTGCTTTTTGTTTAACCGCTATCCAAACAACCTGCCTGGCATGGTAGAACCTCAAGAGACATAAGTCTCAGCCAGTATAGCTTGAGTAGATCATTGCGGTGTTCAAGCCCGACCACCACGTCAAGGTAGCAGCTTTCGGTCACGTAAGGAGGGGAAATCAATCGATGAGGCTGTGAAGCTACATCGACTGAGATGGTTAGGAGGTGTGTTACGTATACCTAGTCATCGCCTTCCTCGAAGATGGGCAATGTTAGCTGATATACGAACAGACTGGAAAAGAGGTAGCTATGGTCAAACCAAAACATGGCTTCGTCAGTCAATGAAATCCACAAGTTATTTTAAGCCAGCTACCCACGTAGGAAGTGTAGACTGCCAATCTGGTTGGGGTCCTCGGGACGGTAAAAACCAATGGCTGAAGACAACAGGTGATATGGCTCAAAATCGTTTTCAGTGACTAACGCAGATACATCCACTCCTTGTGACTTATAATATCCAATAAAACTATATTGTTCTTCGTTATTACTATTCCTTTTGTCTCATATCCCTGTCTACTATCTCTATCATGCATTTCTTCTACTTTCTACTCTTGCTTTGTGTGGTACATGGTGTGGTGACTTGAACTGCTGCACATGGGTGAAAAGTTCTATGTTGAAAACAGACAAACAGGCTAAGATAAGAAGACATTTCATTACAAAATGGAATATTGTGAGCATACAAACACAGAAAGAAACTCTAGCAGCATCGGGAAATAGAACCCCACACATACAAATTGGTACTATAGTAGTTTTAAGGGAAAAATATGTTCCGAAGTATAACTCATGCTGGATATTTTTTTGTGTTTACATGAAGTAGACAACTGAGATGGTAAAGTTAAACTTTAAGCACCGGTGAGTATCAACGGACAAAAGACTTTGAGTGCACCGTCCACATGATAAAGGCGATTTTTGCTTATAAAAAGCACATATATTTATGAAAACGATGAATTAAAAGGCATAAAACTGTTACACAGGATACCCTTGTCTGATGTGTGGCAAAAAATACCTCAGTCTTGGATTGGAGTAACAACAGAGTAATTTAACCACATCCTATGCATGTAATTATCTAGGTCTTCTAACCTTAACAATAAGACTAATCTTTTCTTAACCTAAAGCTCATCTAACTCGAACCAACCGTAATGTCGCCCTAACTAGGTTAACTTAGTCCTAACCTGTCCTTAGCCCAAAATTTTAACTAGTTCTTTCCCAAACCTAACCTGGCACTTGCCAGATATCTCACTTAATAACGTAACAATCAAGCATATTTTATTTATGATTACAATATTATTTACCAGGTTTCACTAACTAGCTCACTGAGCGTTTCAAGGTCATCGGTGCGGTTGCACTTTACTGGTACTTACAGTTCAACTTGGCCCTGAAATTACTATGATGTATGCCAGCGATGTAAAGCTATAGAATGGTCTGATCTGCAAAAATCATAATGAATGTCTGCCATCTAATTTTGTAGATTTAGCTTTGCATGCTTTATTATAGCAGGATAATTTAACATGAATAGTGAAAACTTAGTCATTGGATTCAGTCTCCCTTCCATTTAACCTGAACTGAAGCAGTTCATATCATAAGTCTAGGCTTTTGTTGAACTTAAGGGAATATTTAAATAGAACAGTTTTCTTATGACAACTTCTTTATATGGATATTTGAATGAATTCATAGTTGTCGTTGAAATAATATTTATTTAAATGGTTTAATTTCATTTAACCCATAGGTAATTTGTGGTGTTCACTAGTGTTGATTTGAAACGTGTTTAGTACTTTATATCTGCAGGTTAGATTATGCACAACAATTGTCGGAGACCATAAGTAGCACCAGTACTTAATCAACCGTTTTTAGGTCTAGGCGAATGAAAGATTTGCCCATTCGAAACTACTTAGAACTTTTTTTTCTTGCAAACTCAAGCAAGAACCATCACTTGAAAAATAGCCTGCATCGACACTTAAAAACGGAAATTGTAATAACCGTACATCCTACTCAGATAATCACATCAACTGTGTTGAGTTATTGACTAACGAAATCTCAGTACAGACACAAAAAGGTTTTATGGAATTTGGCAGTGTTCTTACCAGGAGACAAGTAAGATTATGGTTTCAAATTCGAATTCTATGCGAAACGTTAGTCAGTAGTTCTGTCTCTCTCTCTCTCTCTTTCCCTAGATTTTATGTTTGTCAGCATTCATTGGAATGGTGTATCCCAACTCTTGAGGTTACTGATGTTTCAGTTTAATACATGTATCACTACTACGTGTTGAATCTCAAGATCTTATCACTGAGGAATTAAGATAACAACAGCAACTTTAACCAAGGCTGGACGATAAACATGAATTAGTTTCCAGAAGGTAGGCAATATAGTCTAGTCATCTAGTCTTAAGCACCAACCGAAATTTTCCTGTCAGTTGAAATCAACTACGACAAGAATTTCAAACTAGACTACTTAATGAATGAATCGTAGACCTTTTAACTGTGAAACATTATTACATTTGAACATCTATTATCACTGGTAATTGGCTTAGTAACTAATAAATAGCCTTATGAGACGATTAACAGACAGAAGTTACTATGTTTAAGCGTAATTAGCCCTACCGTTGACTTCTTACAGACTTCACATTAAGTGTTGCTGAGTATATGAACCATGAGACTTTCATCCTACCCTACTACTGAGTACATTTCTGAACATAACTACGTACTCCAGTATTGCATATAAAAAAATAAATCACTAAATAACGACTTAGATTACTTACTAAATAACAACCAGGAAATTTTAGCTTTCTGAAGTTGTATCTATCTAAAGTCATAAAAAACAAGGGAAGTGTTACATGCAAAGAATAATTTGTAGTCCATAGGTCTATTTCAGGAGTCAAATTGGTAACACAAGGCTATTACGATTTACACTAACTGGAGCTTAAGTGTCTACCCTACACCGTATATCAATACAAAATGCAGAATCTATTTCGTACATGTTTGTATAATAGGATGAGTCTTTCAATGCGGGTGAAATAAGCTGGTGTACTGCGCAGGATGGAGATAGAATACAGCCTATTGAAGACAATTATTTAGACCGGAGATTCCAAGACTTCAGATTGACCAAAATAGCGAAATTAGTTCCTAACAATCGAACAGAGACCTGCAGAGTGGAATATAACTGTTTCACCATCCCAAGTTAGCACTGATCAAAAGGTTTGATTAGTCTTTTTAGGAAAAACAAGAAAAAACTTTGTTAATTTAACTGATAGTTGGCTCTATAGGGCAAGAAATACAGCTTGTACCTACCGTCCTTTAGTAAAGCATGGAAGTAAATTAATCTATCAAATATTTTAGACATTTCGAAGTAATACAAAGACATTTAGCTATCGTAGTTCAATAAGGTTGGGCAATGCAACCACATATGCCTTTCTGGTGGCTTTCACCAGATATTCATGCAGGGTAAAAGCGACCAAGCATGAAACCAATCTATACCAACACAATTTAACTTATATAAGGCTTCAGTCATGTGAAAAACAGCAGCAATCTCCCACTGCGTACTGCTGAATTTTCATGCATATAGTTATTATGGAATTTCTCTAGATGTCATATTAATCGACACCATCGTTGATATTAGATGGTTGGAGGCAATCGGCAGGAAGCCCTACCTTACCTAGGTTTCGTGCTACTTAGCACTGGTCAGCAAAGTGTATCTGCAACCCTGAAGAAATTCATTTTCCTTTTGAGATTCATGACTGATAGAATTCAGTCTACACAACAAGAATTACTAGTCACTTACACTATAGTGTAAAGTAACTATAGTTACTAACTAATGTCCAATCGACATCATCGTTATTAAAAGATCTTATGTGAATTTTCAGTAAGCTGAGAGACCTAATATTCCACATGAACCGTAACATAGCAGGAGTTACATTCTGAAGTACAAAAGATACACAAAAAGCTTTCATATGTTGAATAATTTTCTCGGTTTAAAATCATTCACAGAACACGATACAGATAGTAGACTAAGTACATACCTCAATGTGATCCCACTTGCTATAATTAACGCCCGACATCCGGAAAAAAAATCCAAGGAAATACTGAAAAAATATAGCAGCACGGGGTTACTCAGCGCAACTGCACGTTCCGCAAAAATGTGAAAAGGCGCCAAATTTCTGTATTCAAGCTTCGTGAAGCTTCTAGCATGTCAGACGATCCAAACATTCTGAAATGACTTTTCTGTTATTTATGTTCTTCAGTAATTTTTCCATATCGGCAGCTGGGAAATATATAAAAAACCCACTTTTCATGCAGTAAAAGAAACTAGTAGTTTTTGGCGGTAAATAATTCATTAAAATAGTAACCCTCTATTTGCAATCACGTTTACTTTACCCATTCCAGAAACCTCAAAGTTCTTTCGTGAGGCTTTGTTTCTATACTCATATTCTTTAGCTAAGATTTGGAACTGCATCTAATGTCATATTTCATTCTCAGGCAGAGGGTAATGTTTGACACTCGAATTTGGAAATGATATAAGTTGTGATGACTACTGGTCCTTTTTCCATTCAGAGCGGATACATCACGGTTTGGAAGGCCCCGTGAGTATCAGTTCCAGTCGCTGACCGGCAAAAGCAACAATTTTGGATAGTGTTGTTCACAGTTACTAACGCACTGATTTAGAGACCGACGGCTACCGAATCCCTTTCTCGGGGGAACAATTGGTATTTCCGAGTACTCACCTGCTGGATTTAATTGTTCCGTGCTCTTTTTTGTCCGAAGATACTCGTTCCTGCAGATTTACAAACATAGGAGTCAATACCTGTGTGATTGTTCCATTTCAAGTACTGAAATGTTTCTTTAAATAAGCACCGTTTGGAATATAGTATTTGATCCATACTTTGGTCACGCTCCGTAGTGCCTGAGCCAAGAGGCAAACGAGGTGGTTTGGAAACCTACAAAAATGTAAGTGTCAGTGGAAGTGAACACTGAAAATTTGTTAATTGCCCTTGCTCGCCATTAGTGGGCAACTCGGAGGCGCGAATGGCCCGATCGTGTACAACTTCGACGAAGACGAACAAAAGCGAATAAAAGTACATAACAAATTTGTATAAAACATTTGTTTGTAGTCTTGTAATGTTCTCCACTTTATTTGCCAAACAATACAACTTCCTTCTTACAATACTGGTGTTTTGGAGTCAAAGTCGAAGAAAATACATGGTATTTATCGGTATGGAGCGTCTTCGTAACAATAGGAGCTTAGGGATAAGTTCCTTGACAGTTTTTATTCGTTTTCTGGAGCGCTTTTTGGACAGTTTTTATTTAACTGTTCTTTTTCTGGAGCATCTTCTGGGGCATTTTCTATTCTTCTGTTCGTTTTCTGGAGCCCAATCTAGAACTCTTCCGGGTGTACTTACTGGGTCTGCAGCCAGCATCCCTTTGGTCACGGATTATCAACTCAGTTTGGATGCTTTGTTGACGCTGGATAATGCCTGGTCCAAGGAAGGGAGGTGGCAATGTGAAAGCAGACAAAAAACGTAAGTAACGATTAGTTGCCTGTTAATTTTAATCACATGCATGATGCTCGGTATGATAAATAAATTTATTCTCATGATACAGTACACGAGGGACGCCAGTTTACAGGCATCATCAAATTGTTACAGAAATAGGACCATATTATCCAGCCACAATTCACAGGTGGTAGCAAGATATGTTTAACATGTACGCTGGAGATTATACGTACACTTGATAAATGTTAATCCCAATAGTATAAAGCAGCCTTTTCACTTATGTGCAGTCATTTCTGTGAACAGTTGGAAAAATCTGCTAGATTGTGAGTGAGTGCAACACATCAGGAAATACAGAAGTATTGTCTTCGCATTAACAAAAAAAACCAGGTCTTTGGTGGATGGGTTATTGGTGCCTGGGAAAAAAATAAAGCTTGAAGTCGATTTTCATACTTAATTTTGTTGTGTGCAGAGTCCTTGAATTATCGTTCATTGATGTGTTATTTTGAAATCAGTGATATGTTTACCTCATTAGATCTGCAATGTCATTGTTTGGAGTAAAATACATTAGCTTTAGACGCATTAATTGATGGATTTCTACTGCTTGTGGGTATTTTCTTCGCTTGAGGAAGGTTTATGAATTTCAGTTGTTCCGACAGGAGTTGTGAATATTAGCTGCTCAGCGACATTATGGATATAAGTTCATCACATTATCTTGGGAAAGATGGGTTGTATTTGGTGAGGTATATATGGTGCCCAACGAGCGTACATCTGTCCATGTAATGTTATGGTGAGTTATATCTTTTTCATATTGTCGGTTTATGTCCATTTTATTCCACTTATTGTGTTGGGTAGAAGTTTTACAAACGAAACTTCTTGTCTGTTTGAGGGTAAGTATCTTAATCGTTATTGTTTTATCTGAAATTATAAATATAGGCAAAAAACAACAGGTTCAGTACTTAAGCTTATTGTCAATCACGTCTCATAAACCGTTAATGCCCAGCTCTCGCTACGCTCGGGCCCGCGCTGTTCCTTTGAGTTTTCAGAAACGCTTAGTAATAACGGACGCAAAAACCAAAACACCGATCTGCCGCTTGTTATTTCTTTATTGTTACACCAACATAAAGGAGGGAGGGTGGCGCTAGCTGATCAGTAGATATGGTGGTGGTCACTAAGGTGAATCACCCCATTCTGCAGGAACAGCAATATACAAATTAAAGGCTCGAGATATTTCTGATTTTTATGAGGGCTTAGATCTTTATCTTGAAAAAGATAATAGTGAACGCCTTGACAGATCATGCTTCTACCTTTAAATATATACCATTCGCTCAGCCTATTGTTGAGATGCGACCACGTGGGATCTGCACAGATTTATGGGGCATCTTATAAATTAACTTGCTATCCATTGTCGGATCTTTAAATATCACTTCACAATATCTTGTCTCACTTATTTTCTAATAACGTCTTTACTTGATTCTCATTATATTCCATTAAACCTAACATTTTATAGCTCTTTATGAATTTGATTCGACTTATTCTATTCCTATTCTCTGGAGGGTACGGTTGCGCACCAAATAGAAAAAAAGACATGAAATAAAAACAACTGGCTTGAAAATAATTGTATTAAAGCCAAAAGTGGACATCATGATTGTATAAAATATATTGGTTTCATTATACATTGCAAATGAACGTTGTCGGCCTAAGGATTAATTACTTCCCCATTCTGTTTTCTATATAAATGTGTTTATTAATGATATATTTCACTCACTTAATCTATTACACTTTAATGTTTCACCACAGCACTTTAATTTTTCTAAAACAGCTTCCAATCCCTTGTAAACGTTGTACTTACCTGAATATTGGTTGGTTATCGTATGCCTACAACCACGGGATGAAAACGAAACGAAGTCGACTTTCCCGCTCAACCTGGAGGACAACTGTACAATTCAATAACTATACAGCCTAGTTCAGACAATGTGTATTTATATATATATCAGATATTTAACTGTTGAAACATTATTAACTTGTAGACAATTTAAGATTTGACATTATATCATCCTTGATCGTGCCTGTAAAAATGGCATGCATTTTCATGTAAATTTATGTTTATATGAAAATAAATTATTATTATTATTAAAAGGAATAAGCGAACTAAGCAAACTAAGGTTTCTGACGATGTTTCACTCTTCTTTCTGAACAGCGACCGATGAGACGATGACTGTCGTATTGATGCCTCCGCGAAAATTGGGGAAGTTGATTTTGAGCAAACAACCAAGAATTGATCGTTCAATCTTCAACTCCATTGACACTTATACATTAAATGGACCTATAATTTCGGAGGCTCTCAGATAGGGACTAGGACTACTATCGTTTGCAAACTCTTGCAGTTTGTCGTTAAGCACTTTTTGAATAAGGCCAATATACCTGCTTGACGCATTTCCATTGGTAGTTTATTTCATATCTGTGCATACCTAATCAAGTAAAACTTTTGCCTGGTAGCTGTTTTACATTGTTCGATAGCTACTGTACCCTTAGTGTGTCTTAGTTTGTAGCCACTGTCATCTGAAAGTCGAGTGGCATTAGTAGAGGTAAAAACTAAGTGGTTTAGAAGCTTATAGTAAAGTGTTAAGTTTAGTCTCAGGCATCTTAGCCATAGTGTTTCTAGTCCTAGGGTATCACATCTGGTGGAGTAGTTCGCACCATTTTCGGTTCCGAGTAATTTTGACGTGAAGTACCTCTGCACTCCCTCGACATTCAATTTGTCCTCTATGCGTATAATACTATACATGAATGAACAGTAATCAAATAAAGGACGCACACAAACCTTGTACAACAGAATTCTGGACCCATTTCTGTAGAAGTTCCTGAGTAGAGAGTCGATAAGTCTGCGTGACTTTGACACTTGTTTGGAGATATGTTCAGAAAATGATAAGTCATGTGAGTATTTCAGTCCTAGGTCCAATACAGATTCCAGTCGTAAGAGTGCATGGCCTTGAATTGTCAGGTCAAGTTCTAAATTGTTGCAACCTATGCAGAGCCAGCCACATTTGTCGACATTAAACTGGAGTTGCCAGGTGTTACACCATCTATCCATTTTTTCTAATTCTTGCTGTATGGCGTTTACTGTTATTCCGAGATCTGTGTTCTTGCATTTATAGGTCACTTTTAAGTTATCTGCTGTCATCCACGTCTCGTAAACCGTTAATGCCCAGCTCTTGCTACGCTCGGGCTCACGCTGTCGCTTGAAGTTTCTCAGAAACGCTTAGTTATAACGGACGAAAAAACCAAAACACCAATTGTTGACTTGAGTACTCTGTATTGTTACACCAACATATTAATCAAGTATGACTAAGGTCTGTGAACAAATATTACAATAATAAATCATAATATTACTTCTGACGATGTTTTACTCTTCTTTCTGAACAGCGACCGATGAGACGATGACTGTCGTATTGATGCCTCCGCGAAAATTGAGGAAGTTGATTTTGAGCAAACAACCAAGAATTGATCGTTCAATCTTCGACTACATTGACATCTGCATATAGTATTGGTTTACCAACACTAAAGCATTC